GTTGTTCTTTAAGCTTCCAATACCCACACTGTCAGCTACTTGCATGGAATCCCCTCTGCGTGAAATGACTGGATACCAACTGCTAGACCAGAGAAGGCAAACGCAAGCAAAGCCGATCGTGCCTAGTGCTATGAAGAACACAAGATGGGGTAATAGTAAAGCAAGAAATAAAAAGCAGTGTGGTCGTGGTAGGGGGCTATTTTTGGTGGGCGGGTCTCTCGGAAGAGGTGACATATGAGCTGACACGTGAGAGGTCTGACACGTGAGGGAGTGACATTTCTGGGGGGCACGGGCTCTCTGGGGCTGGCGGGCTATGGCAACCCCCCTAGTGCAGGCTGCTGCCCCTGCTGGCTGGGCACAGAGATGGGCAGAGAGATGCCCGGGAGCCTCTGGGCGCTTAGGCCCGAGATTTGACCTAAGTGTGTGGGGATCTCAGTTCCCGGTTGAGCGTTGGGAAGCGCAGCCCCCCCTGCCCTCTTCGCCGCCTGCTCGGGCTCGGGCTCCGGAGAAGTGCTGGTCTCGCCGCGGCCGGTGGAGGGCAGTGGTTGCCGCGGTGCGCGGCGGCCGGCCGGGCGCTGCCCTTTCCCCAATGGAATGTGGGCTGTCAGCTCCCGTAGGGCCGGAGGGATGGGACCCGTCCCTCCCCTCTCTAATCCTCAGCTCTTCCCCTGCCCCCCCCTCCAGAGCTCTGAGCCCTGGTCTCTCCTGGACGGGGCGGTGGGGTGGGGGCTGTGGTGGTGGTGGTAAGGTGCAGGTGAGGCTGGGCAGATGGTGTGGACCCTCACCTAACTGCTCCCCGCCACCACCTGGGCCAGGTAGGGGGCTGAGGCCAGCTCCCCTCGGGATAAGGGGGAAGAGTTTTATAATTAGCATGTTTGCTATTAGTGCTGTTTTTAAGCACATAGCATGTGCCAGGCACTGTGCTAAATTCTTGTATGGCGCATCATCTCTTGAAAGCAGCACAACAGACCTAGGAGGCAGGTGCTCCATCTCCAGAGTTGCCCAACACCACACAACTAGAAGCAGGGTTTGCTCTTCAGGCCATGTGTCAGTTCTCTGACTGCTGCCTCTGTAGGAGGGTGAGTTGCCCATGGAATCAAGGTGAGTAGGGAGGGGATGAGCAGGTGTCAAGGTGTGGACATCTGAGCGACCTGCAGGGTCACCCAGTGAACTCCTTTATTTTACAGATGGAGGAACAATTCCAGAGAGGGGACAGTGACTTGCCGAAGGTCCCGCAGAGAGCACATGGCCAACCACAACAGAGGAGACTCGGGCACAACAGGGGACCAGGACCCAGATCCTGGCCAGAAGCCAGAAGCCCCTTGAGGGCAATGACTCCTTTTATACCCTTTATTCCCTCCTCCCTCCCTGCTGGACCTAGCGCAGGGTGCAGCACACAGTAGGTGCTCAGAAAGTCCTCCGTGGTGGGTGCATCTTTCATCCTGACATAACTGCAATCACCTGCCATTCACGCCCTCATTCCTTCGTCCAGCATTTAGTAAGCACTGATTGTGTGCTTGGCTCCTTGCTAGATACGGGGCGTGGTTGAATGACACAGTTTACTGTTGGCTTATCCTCCAGGGGGGATTTCGGGGGTTACCCCACATTATGACCCATACTTCCATAGTTTTCCTCACTGTCAATGCGGGCTTCCTCTGTTTGCGTCTGGTAACTTGTAGTTTGCTCTCTGCCCTGGCTGGAGGGAGCAAATCTGCTCCACTTCCCTTCCCCGGGCCATTTCCACTCCTTATTCCTTGCTTGCCATAACACCCCCTCCTTTCAAGCTGCTTCCTTCCCCTCCCCAAGCCCTCTTTGACTACCGTCCCCCCTGCCTGCTCTGTAGACCTCAGTGCGGAGGTCTTGAGCTCTGCCCAGGTATCTCTGGTTCTGTCTCTCTGTTTCTGTGTAGGTGTCCCCCCAATCAACCTCTCGGGCTCCCCAAATATAGGGACCACCTCCCTTCTAGTTGTTTTTTCTCAGACCTAAATAGTCCAGGAGAAGGGGCAGGAAGGGGAGGTCGTGCAGTCCACCCCTAGCACCCAGGGCCTGTCCTGGGCTCTGGCCCTAGGACCCCCTCAGAGGAAGGTTTCTCTGGAGCCCCCACCCTTTGTGTCTGAGAATGGGGCCTTTGGCTTCCATTTCTCCAACACTGGGGTTTGATCATTTGTATCGCCCTATGGCAGGCAGTCTGCAGGTAACAAATAGTTCTATGGAACCCAAATCCTTCCTTTTACATGCTGGGTGACTGAAGTTACAGTGATTGGCCTCTCTGGGCCTCAGCTAATGATACCTGTCCTGTCTGTCTCACAGGTAGTAAGGAGGACCAGAGATCAAGGAGAAGAAAGAGCCAAACCCAGGTAGGGGCTTAGTTTTGTTGTACTCAGAGCAGGGGTGGCGTCCTTGGCCAGGTGTTCACGAATCACTTTGGAGGGCAGGAGTGGGAAGCAGGAGGAAGGAGGAAGCTTGCACAAGGAGGGGAAGCCAACTCTGAGTCTCCCAGAGAACTGTTCAGGAACAGCTAGTGGGAAAGGGGCAGGAGAATTTCCTTGTTTGAGGAGGGAAATAATTTTATTTCTTTCTTTTCCTTCCTTCCTTCCTTCCTTCCTTCCTTCCTTCCTTCCTTCCTTCCTTCCTTCCCTCCTCCCTTCCTCCCTTCCTTCCCACACTAACTGTGCTCTTCCAGTGTGCCAGGCATTGCATTAGCCCTGGGAATACAAAGGGCAGGGAGATGTGCCCTCACTTGCATGGCTCATCTAGGCTAGGAGGCCTCAGTTGGGAAGGTACATCATTCATTCATTCTTTTATCAATTTCACATTTATTGAAAACCTACTATGTGCCAGGCCCTGGGCAAGGCCCTGGGAAGGTCATAAGATGCCATCCCTGCCCCCAAGGAGTTTAGAGTCTTCTGGAGATAAAAGGCTCAAGAGTAGGCAAGTGAAACATGGCTAAAGCAGAAGGTTAGGGATAAGTGTTGGATGAATCTAACGTCTCCCTAAGCATCCGTAGGTCTAGGCACAGACTAAATATGTGCTCAATAAATGTTTGGAAATCAGTGACCCAGATGTGGGGAAGTTTCTAGATAATTTATGAGTTAAAGATTTCAGTCATTCTAGTAGGTATGGGATAGTACCTAATTCTGGTTTTAATTTGCATATATCTGTTGTATCAATCTGATGATCGAATATCTTGTTATGTGCTCATTGCTATTCTTTGAGTCTACTTAGTTTCATTTGTGTATATGTCTATCCTTATTGTATATCACATTGTATTGATCATTGTACTTGTAATAATCTTGTACTTATAATAAATCTTCAAGTTAAAAAAACAACTTATGAGTTAAAGAATAAAATTGTTTTAACAAAATGCTAATAAAAATGCTACATATGACAACAATAGGAAGCAGTCAAAATGGTTCTTAAAAGGAAATTTATGGTCTTCTGAGAATCTTATATTGAAAAAGAAGAAAGATGGAAAATTAAAGCATTCAACTCAGGAAGTTGGAAAATGATAAAAATAATAAATTCAGGGGGCACCTGGGTGCCTCAGTTGGTTAAGTGCCTGCCTTCGGCTCAGCTCACGATCCCAGCATCCTGGGATCGAGTCCCGCATTGGGCTCCCTGCTCAGCGGGGAGTCTGCTGCTTCTTCTCCCTCTGCCTCTCCCCACGCTCTTGCTCTCTTTCTCTCTCAAATAAATAAAATCTTTAAAAAAAATAAATTCAAAGAAAGTGGAAGGAAATAACAAATATGTTATATATTTTTTGGCTATGAGATTCAGATTCAGATTCAGATTAGTATTCAAGAAATTCATAAGTCAGAAATCCACAGAAAAAAATAAGTAGAGAGTCGGTCTCAGTTCTAGGCCTCTCCTGGAGGGGAATGTGGATTTTCCATAAGTTTCTCCTGAGTTTTGAGAGCAGGGCCCATTCCGCAGAGGCCTCAGAAGAATGGACAAACTCTGAGCAGAAGTCTCGGAACTTCCAGACCCAGGGCCTGGCTGTACTGTGTCCTGAGAGAGCCAGCCCGAGGCCCAACTTGCCTGTATTTGGTATACAAACTAGTGGGTTGTCTTTAATCCACAACATGTGCCTATCATAACGATAGAGATATCACCAATAATCCTTTACACTGAGTGCTGGAAATGGAAGGTGTGGTATTCCTGATAGGAATGAACACAGCTATCTCATCAGATCCTCAAACACCCTACCAGGTAGGGAAGGTTTATGCTCCATTTGGCAGATGAATAAATTGAGACTCCGTTTGTCTGAGGTCTCAGTGAGTGGGTAAGTCAGGACACCAAAAAGCTTCAAAGTCCCTTCTTTGCTCCCAAGCTTCCTGTCATTGAGACACCTGCTCTTTCTTCAGTCTAGCTAGCTCCTTGGTGCTCACTTAAAGCCCACTTCCTCCAAGAGGCCTGTGCTGATTCTCTGGTTTCCAGAACAAGCCATTCTCTTCCCTGAACTTCTCCCTTGGTTAGGAAGTTTGGGGTGGCTATCTTAGGTAGATAGCTTATCTCTCAACTTGACTGTGAGCTTCTTGAGGCAGAGGGGTGGGGTACAGTTGTAAGTGTCTTAGTGCAGGGCTGGGTTTGAGAAGATCCTCAGTCCTTGTTTGTTGATCTAGAATTTGGTTTGGCAGGATTAGACCTGTACCCATCAGAATATATTCTGGGCTGTGCCAACCCCACGGTTCAGCAAAAGTGGTTGAGAAGGAACCCGCCACCAGTTGGGGAATCCCCCATGTCTGTGCTTGCTAAAGCGGCCACGTGGTGCCTGGACACGTCAGGGAGTGCTGGGAACATAGGTCCACACTGGGAAAATCTCCTTATAGGATGGTGGGGCGGGAGACCTTTTTGTGTCCAAGTTGCATTGGTCTGAAGGTATAATTAAGTCCCCGGGCCCCTTCCCCCATAACTGGAGAATCCCCAAAGTTCTGTGGTCAACCTGTTTGACCAGTGACTGACCAATCCTGAGAGGAGAGACAAAAACACACAGCTTTATCCACGGACAAATCTCAGCACTTTATTCATCCCTTGGCAAGGAGAAGGGGGGCATTGCCCCAAGATAGTCAACCAGCCGGGTGGAGTGGCTGGGATATGTGTTGTCTACCCAGAGAGTAAATACAGTACTGATTAGGCAGAAACAGGAAGGGAAGCAATAAGTTAAAAGCCACATAAGTTACGAAAAATAATACATATACTTTATATATCTTGCATCCCCACTGAGGATTTGCTCCCTTGGAAACCAATAAATAGGCAGAGAAAGAGCAGCAATCAGCGCCCTTTTTGGGACTTCCGGGATGAGTATACGTCCGAGTTCCCTCCGGCCTGAGCGTCATTAGCCCTTCAGCGCCCCCCACAGGCATGGACGACCTTGCGGTCTTGTTGGGGCCAAGGCCTAGGGGGACGATGTCCCCAAAAGTGAGATGAAGGAACGGAAGACTGGGGCTAGCGGAGGAGTGAGGCAAGGGACAGGGACGGAGCAGGGAGGGAAGGAGAGAGGGTGGGTGGTGGAGTGGGCGGCTGGAGATGCCAGGATCCCCCTGCAAGCCTCAAAGGTGAGAGCCAAGACAAGGAAAGAGGAATGCTCCTCCCAGCACCATATCTTCTCTTTGGAGGCAGAATTCCTTTTTGGTTGTCAGTGGGGCTCCCCAGCCCAACCGGAAGGGCTCAGAAACTCCCAGACCTGCCTGGACTGTGCCTTCTTCATGGCCCCTGCTCGGGAGGCAGGGAAGTGGGTGTGGTGGGGAGAGGGGGCAGAAAGGGAAGAAAAGAAGCAGCTCTAACCCCACAGGTGCGGGGTGTTCCTGGGCTCCTCAGTAAATGCAAGGAAGGATGGAGGGGAGGGCCGGGCTGTTTGGCCTGATGGAGAGAGCAGGGACCCGGAGAGGTGGGATTCATGGGAAGTGGCCCAGGGTTTGGTGCTGGGGGTGGGGCTAGGGGTCTCCAGGGCCTGGTCTACCAAAGCCAGGTTTCAGGCTTGGGAAACACCTAGGCGTGGGGAGGGGGGTGTGGAGGGTGGGGGGCAGAGAGCTTGGATCCTGGGCAGGGTGGTGAACCCCAGGATGGCAGGGAGGAGAAGGGAGGGCCAAATTCCCCCGCCTGGTCTCAGGCTGCCATCTAGCCTCCCTCTCACAGGGGGTTTATCATGGCAAGAATAGCTTCTGGAGAAGGAGCCAGGAGCTGGCTGCGCAGCCTGTCCAATTCTGACTGGCCCTCTATGAGGGCCCCACAGGAGGACGGAAGCTGCACAGACGTCTCTGGGTTGACCTCAGAGGTCCATGCTCAGGTCCCACACACCCGGGAAGCTTCCTCCCTTCACTCCCTAATACTGTCAGGTCTCTGGAGGTGCCCAAGTGGTGCGCGAAACCCAGGGGTGCTCAGCACTCAGTTTCCCCAGGAGCTCCAGATGGGGAGAGGGTGCCCAGGCAGTCCCCTCAGCCCCTGATTCATGGCTGGCTGGGGCTGGGTGAGCAAGGGCACCAGCCTCGGTCCTGAGGCAGAGGCAAGGTAAGGCTTGGTAAGTGAGTTTAGGGCAAGGGTTGGGCGAAAAGGGTCAAAAAAGGTTCCTTGGTGGAAGCCCTCTGTTTGGGGAGGGGCCTCAGAAGAGAAAGGAGGTGGAGAGAAAACTGACCCCCAGTTTCAGTTTACCCAGTCAGACCTCTGGCAAGAAGGTTAGAAGGGTAGGACTGAGATATTGAGATGGAGCGGCATGATTCTTAGTAGCTGGTGACAGCCCTGTACCACCCCCAGCCACCTACAGAAAAGCTGTCCCGGTTTTGAACCCTCCCCCTTTCAGTTCAGGATCAGGTTTGCCTCCCCACCCAACCCAGAGGTCCCAAGCTGCTTGCGTGAGTCTAGCTGAAGTCCCTCCAGCTGCAGGGGGGCGACCTAGGCTCCGGGGCTCCAGCTGCCTTACTCTGAGACCTCTGACTCCTGCGACAGGAACTTCTCAGACATTTCGGTGATTTTGATCACAGGGCCTTTTCTGTTCTTCTTTTTCCGGGCGGGGGCTCTCGAAAGGCTAGACTTGGAGGCAGCTACAGGGAACATAAGGGGTGGGGCAGGGAAGGGGCTGGAGGTTGGGGGGCCACTTAAAATGACGCCTTTAGGGTCATGATTGCCCGCACCATGTCCCCTTCCCCGCCATGGGTTCCTAGGGAAGTAGACTCACCGGTTCTGGATGTGGACTTCACCATGCTGACCATGGCAGCTGAAGGCAAGTCCATTCTGGGGGAGGACGGAAATGGGGGCATTTGAAGGGGGCCTGTGGCTCAAGCCCCCGCTGGGCCTGGGGGCCCTGGGGAATAGCAGGTGGAGGGCAATTCTTGGTTGTTATTCCCAGCCCCGGGTTGCCCTGCTGTGTGACTTTGGCTAGCCAGTTTGTCCTCTCTGGGCCTCTGTTTCTTCTCCCCTGCACAAACGGCTAACATTTACGGAGCGCTCAATTGTGACAGATATTTGTGTGCAGATTAGTATCAGTCCTCCCCACCATAGTCTGTGTCATGATCAGCCCATTTTCCAGATAGGAAAACTGAGGATTTAATGAATGGGCCAAGGTCCCAGTTTGTAAGTGGCTGAGGCCGGACACGATTCCAGGTTTTCCTGGCTCACGGTATCCTGCTGGAGGCAGAGGCTGGCTTTGTGTGGGGCTGGCCCTCTGGTCCTGCCTTCCTGCGGCCCCACCCCGCTGGCCCCAGCCCTCACCGGCTCTCCTCGCCCTCCACCAGCTTGCGGTAGGTGGCGATCTCGATGTCCAGGGCCAGCTTGGTGTTCATGAGCTCCTGGTACTTGCGCAGCTGCCGGGCCATGTCCTGCTTGGCCTGGTGCAGGGCGGCCTCCAGCTGGGCCAGCTTGGCTTTGGCGTCCTGGAAGGCCAGCTCCCCCTGCTCCTCCGCCGCCTTGATGTTCTCCTCCAGCTTCAGGCACTGCAGAGGGAAGGGGTTCATGAGCACTGGGGGGAAGGAGAGAGTGGGCCCAGGAGCCAGCCTCTGCCCTCTGTGGGGGTGCGCAGGGCAGGGAGGGCTGAGCAACAGTGTTCTTGGGTGCGGCAGGGGGTCGCCTTGCAGCAGGAGGGAGTTCAGTTAGACCTTAGGAGACCCCTTCCAGAGGCCATGAAGGAGGGAAGATGCACAGCACCCAGAGGAGCCTGTCCCAGCTGTCCTGACAGGGCGGCGCCTCCTCTAAAGTGCTGGCTGGAAGCTGGGCTTAGGCTTCCAGCCCCTTCTTAGTACTGTTGGCCCGAGGCCTGGGAGGGAAGAGGTGGGCTCTGGGGGTTTGTGGTGGTGGGGCTCTGTATCGTTCCCACAGCCCTGGCCAGTTTACAGACCACCTTCACCTGCGACACTCACGCGGTCCTCACAGCCATCTTAGGAGGACAGGAGAGGAAACTGAGGCACAGAGCTGATAAGTGACCTGCCCAGGGTCTTGCATGTACTCAGTGTGTGTGTGTGTGTGTGTGTGAGAGAGAGAGAGAGAGAGAGAGAGAGAAAGAGTGTGCCCTTGCACTCCTCCCTGCCTCACCCCCAGGTGGGTCCTCCAGATACTCACATGACTCTTGACGGAGAGGATCTGGGATCGAAGCTTCTGGATGCGCACGTTGAGGTCAGCGATCTCACTGCGGCTGCTCCGGAGGCTGTTCCCAAACTCAGCTGAGCAGGCAGACCGCTCCTCCAGCTGGAGGGCATGCAGGAGGTGACAGTGAGGGGCAGTTCACTGGGTCCCTCCCAGCACCCTGGCCCCTTGCTGCTCCTTTTTTCTCTCACCTCCCAGCCCCTCCTCTTCCTCTGCAGCCCTACACTCGCAGGCCAGCCTCGCCCTCCGACACCCACCACGCCCAGCTCTGGCTGGGCCCCCCCCTGGCCTGGTGTTACTAGGTGGTGGCACCATTGTGAGCTCCTGGAGGGCGCGGACCCTGGCCTTTCCCCCACCGCATGGCCCCTCGGCCCCCGCAGTGCTGGGCTCTCACATTCTCCGTCGCCCCATGCTCCCCACTGCTCTCTCACAGACTCAGCGCTCAGAGCTGAAGGTGACTTCAGCCTTCCCTGGGGCGGCGCCTCCTGGGCTGGCAGCCTCCTGCCCCCTTGGTCAGCCCCACTCCGTCAGCCCCGAACCTGTCTCTGGGAGTGGGCCTCGGCTTCCTCCAGGCTGCGAGCCGCGATGGCGTCATACTGGACCTTCACCTCCTCCACGATGCCGCTCAGGTCGATGTGGCAGCGGCTGTCCATGCCCACGGTCACCGACACGTCCTTCACTTGGGCTGCCAGGTCCGTCAGCTCCTGGCCAGGCACAGACGTGGGGGCTCAGGGCTGGTGGGTGGGGGGCACCAGACCCTCAGCCAGCCACGGTCCCTGCCTCCCCAGGGGGAGTGGCCCTCTCTGTGTCCCAGAGAGATGACCCAATGATAAGGCCTCCCTGCCACGCGCCCTCAGCTCTGACTTCTGGGAAGCAGTTGGCCTCTCCTGCTCATCCGCAGCTTGGCCTCCCTCTCTGGGTGGAGGGGACAGGGCAGCAAGGGACTCCTGCTTCCAGAGGCTCACTACAAGCCTATTGATTTCTCTTCAGTGTCCCCACCTCTCCCAGGGCGGGACACTTTCCTCCCGGCTGGTATGGCAAAGGTCCAGGAGGTCTGGCCCCTCTGCTCCATTATGGCTCAGTGGTGTGCAGCTTGGCCTCGCCCTCTGGATGGGAGCTCCCTGAGGGCCTGGGGAGCCACGGCCTCTCTGGGTCCCCCGCATCTGGAAGCGAGCAGCTCAGTTTGCATATTGGAATGGGAGCCCATGAGTGATGAGGGGCAGGAGTGGGGCTGTACTCCCTGCTCCCCTGCCAGGGGCAGAGGCCAAGGTGAGTTCAGGGTCACCCTGGAGGCTCGTTGCCCCTCCCCATCTGGCTGACCAGCTCGCCTGCAACAACGCAATTTGGCCTCAATATTTTCATCTTCTCCCCATCCTTTAGGATCCCTCTTTCCTCCTCCTCTCTGTCCATCTCTCTGCTTAGAAAATGCCAGCCCGCATCCTCAGAGAGCCCTGGAAGCAGTAAACTTCTCATTTCCCCCGGGGGACTCATTACAGGCCAGGCTCCGAGCTAAGTGCTTTCCCGCTATCCGCTGTCCTCGCCAGGCCCGCATGACCTCTCGCCCCAGGTTACAGAGAGGAAAGATGCAGCGGCACGGAGCGGTTAGGGAGACAGCTGTGGGCGCAGCGCAGGCCCCCAGAGGCCTTGCTGCTCCCGTCAAGCTCCCCTAGAGGGGCAGAGACAGGAGCCGGAACCCGGGTCTGTCTTCCTAGCCCCAGCTTTTGGGCCTGAACGCTCAGGGGTGTGTAGAGAGGCAGGTGGGGACAAGGGTCTTCCTAAGGGGCTGCAGGTGTCACCTTTCAGGCCCTGGGCCGCTGCCCCGGGAGGAGCCGAACCACCCAGGCCGGGCCGGGCTGGTGCGGGAAGGAGGAGCGAGGGGCTGTGGCCGGCATTGTACTGGTAGAGTGAGTCAGGTGGCAGGGAGGGGGCCAGGCAGCCCGGGAGGCAGGGGTGGGGCCCACCTGGGGGAGGGAGGGTGTGGGGCACGCAATGACTCCTGCTGGTATTCACAGTTCACCCTGACCCTTACTTAAGTACTCCAGTCAGCAACTTTTGGCCAGTGTTCCCATTTTTCTGATTGCTTCATATATGTGTGTGTATTTATATATGCCATATATGTGTGTGGCTCTTCTTCTGTTTGTTTGTTTGAATCAGGATCCAAAGCAGATCCCTATCTCGCAATCGGTCCGTCTGTCCCTAAGTCTCTCTTATCCTATAGCTGTGCCTCCATCTCTCTCTCTCTCTCTCCCCTTCTCTCTCTTCTTTGCTATTTTTCGTACTGAAAACACTGGGTTGCTCGTAGCACCGCCCACAGTCTGGACCTTACTGGCTGCCCCGTCTGCTGGTGTGGAACCCGCTCTTCTGCCCCGGGCATGTCCTGAGACCTGGCAGCTGGGGCGGAGGCCTGCTCACGTCCAGGTTCAGTTTTTGTCTCATGACCGCATTCTTTTTTTTTTTTTTTTTAAGATTTTATTTATTTATTCATGAGAGACAGAGAGAGAGAGAGAGAGGCAGAGGGAGAAGCAGGCTCCCAAGGAGCAGGGAGCCCGATGTGGGACTCGATCCCAGGATCCTGAGATCATGACCTGAGCCGAAGGCAGATGCTTCACCATCTGAGCCACCCAGGCGCCCTCATGACCGCATTCTGACCTTGGGTGCTACCTCTGGGCCCCCTCCTGACCCTCAGTCCGGCTTTATGCGCAGAGTGGCTGCGGTTGGTTGAGCCTCTGGAGTCTGTAGCAGCGAGGCTGGTGCTCTGACCCACAGCTTGTGCCCTGCGGGGTGGGCTGGGTCAGCTAGAGCCCCAGGGGCGGCTGCGGAGGCCTGCTGAGGAAGGCCGCCCCTCCCCTGTCTGCGAGCTGCCTGACCCTGCCCACCAGCATCCCTGGTGACAAGGATCGGCTCCTGCAAAAGGAAGCCTGCTGGGGGCAACCTGTTTCCATCCCGGAGCTGACAGGACCCTGAGCCTAGTGGCCAACTGCCCCTTAAGGACTCCAGATGAAGGATTTTGGTTGATCTTCAAAAGAACTTAGCAAACATCTCTGGGCAAAAGCATTCGGCCCCTTGGCAGAATAAGGTCGATGGTACCTACAGACTCATGTCCCACCTCTGCTGCCCGGGTCATGCTTAGAGACTGGCATTTCCCACATGGAACCAGGATCCCAGGCAGGCCTTGGCTGTGGACAGTTTGAGGAATGCAGCTTTGAGGCTTCCTTGGTCAACATGTTATGGGGGGGTGGTCAGTGGGCATAGAGAGTTCCAGAGAAAGCCCTTTAGCCCAGGCCTGAGGTGGCATTTGTTATGGGCCAGGAAAAGGCCAGGGCATTGTCAGAATGCACTGGAGCAGGGCTTCTCCTAGCAGGGAGAAGGGATTGGCAAAACAGAGCTGATGGAGCAGCCTCGGATCCTTTCTGGAAGGAGGCAGGGTCAGTGTGAGCTTGGTAAACAGGAGTAGGAAACGGAGGGTTTAGAACATCCGTAGGCCTGTTCAGGCACGCCGGCCCCCGCTGGGCCGCAGAGGGTATAATAATGCCAGCTTGTGTTCAGCTACTACGGGACAGGCCCTCCAGGTTGGCAAGAATTGAGCCAAGGTGAAGTTTAAATCTCTTCAGAGCCTGAGCCTGAGGAGACAGCCGCGGGTGGGACCACCCTCTTTGTGGTCTCTGGGTCAGGGGAGGCAGTGACCCTGAGGGGTAATTTAGAGCTGCTCGGTAAAATGTAGTGCTTAATGGCACCAGGAGCTGAATACTACCCCTTCTTAGTAGCTGTGTAACCCTGGCCAGGTTTTAAACCTCTCAGAGCCTTTGTTTTCTCATCTGTAAAACGGGTATGATTATCAAATTGAAACCAGCTAACATTTATTAATACGTACCATGTACCAGATACTGTTCTCACTGCTTTAGGATATATTAACAAAATAGATCCTCACGACAGGCCAGTGAGCTAGGCTCTATCATTTTCCCCATTTTACAGATGGCGAAACTGAGATATATATAGAGAGAAGAACGTGCTAGGGTTCACACAATGACTGAGCCAGGATCCAAATCCAAGCTGCTCTAAAGTTTGTGCTCCCTTAATCATGACCCCTACCTTTATAGGGTTGCCGTGAGGAGTAAATGAGATTACACCTGGAAAGCAGTTCACACAGTGCCTGGGGTAGAGTAGGTGCTCAGTAGATAGTAGCTAAGGACACTATTGTTGTAACAGGTGACGAAGCTGGGGTGAAGGGTCCAGGGGCCGAGCAGCCTCCCTGGCAGTACGAAGGCGGGCGCCAAAGCAGCTTAGACACACCAGGCTCGCTCTGCAGGGAAGGGCATTCTGGGAGGTGCGACCGGCTGCGGGGTGGGTGGGGGGGTTGTCGGGAGATCGCACAGCTAATCTCCCTGGAATGAGAGCTGATGGGTGGGGCAGGTGGCATTCTGGCTGGATGCAGCCAGGCCCCCAAAGCACCTGGGAGCTGGCGTGTACCTTGGAAGCTGAGGGGAAGTGTGAGCCCCTGGGTCCTCTCACCGGCTTGTGTCTCTGGAGGTGGGGGGCAGAGGGGTTACCCGGGAAGCTGCGGTGTATCCGTGAGGCCCTGAGCAGCCCATGGCCATTGGCTTCTGAGAATTTATCCTGGCCATGTGCATGCGTGTGTGTGTGTGTGTGTATGTGTGTGCAAGAGGAAAGGGCTGTTTTCTGAAATGCCAAGGTGGGCCTCCACAGCCGTGCTTTTCTGACCTGGTATCTGCTCCAGAGTTGAAACTAGAGTGTCCAGCCCTCCTGGGGCTACTCACGTCCTGCCATGTTTTTCCTTCACCTGAGGTAGCCATGGCTGGCACCTTCTTTTGCTGAGCCCTGCTTGGTCCCATGTGGTAGCCACGAGCCGTATGAGGCTGTGGGCACTTGAAAGGTGGCAAGTCTGAATTGAGATGAGCTGTAGGTGTAAAATGCACACTGATTTTGAAGACTTGGCATGAGAAAAAGATTGTAAGACAGCCTATTAATTTTTTGTACTGGGCGCCTGGGTGGCTAAGTCGGTTAAGCATCTGCCTTCGGCTCAGGTCATGATCCCAGGGTCCTGGGATCGAGCCCCGCATCGGACTCCCTGCTCCGCAAGGAGTCTGCTTCTCCCTCTCCCCTCCGCTTGTCCTCTCTCTCAAATAAATAAATAAAATCTTAAAAATTTTTTTTTTTTGGTATTGATTACCTGCTGACTAATCACATTTGGATATATTGGGCTGAGTAAATTGTATTATTAAAGTGAATTTGGGCGCCTGGGTGGCTCAGTTGGTTAAGCGACTGCCTTCGGCTCAGGTCATGATCCCAGAGTCCCTGGATCGAGTCCCGCATCGGGCTCCCTGCTCAGCAAGGAGCCTGCTTCTCCCTCTGACCCTCCCCCCTCTCATGTGCTCTCTCTCTCTCTCATTCTCTCTGTCTCAAATAAATAAATAAAATCTTTAAAAAAAAATAAAGTGAATTTTTTCTGTTTCTTTTTTTAAAATGTGGCAACTAGAAAAAACAATTACATGTGTGGCTCACTTTGTATTTCTCTTAGTGCCAGCGTAGAGACCCACTGGTGTGGGGACTTTTTAGCATAGGGTCAGGGCTGCCTTCTCAGCCTGCAGCGCTGCCTGAAGAGAGACGCAAACCTTATGACCCGACACCAACTTGGCGCCTCGCTGCCCCCAGAGTAATCATCCCTGCGCCATGCACCGAACAACCCCACGTCCGCAGCGGTCCCGTTTCTCCGCAGCACTGCCATACCTTAACCCTCTCTGTACCGCCCGCCCCCCCAGTACCCCCAGGAGCCGCCCATCACACTTAGAATAAGATCCAAACCCCGACTCGGGGCCCAGGGCCCTCTGTGAGCTGACCCCGGCCAGAGCTCTTCCTTCCCCCCTTCGTCACCAGACTCACTCCTGCCCTTGATGCTTGGCCCTCCTTCTGCCCAAAGCCCTCTCAGCTCTCCACTGGGCTGGCCCTCCCCAGGCTGGCCTTCCCTCTCTTGTACCTCCTCTGAGATGCCCCCTGACCTTGACCTTCCCCTCCCCTCCAGCACTACCACATCATCGGGTTCTGTCCAGCCCGGCCCTTTTCACCCTCCCAAATGATCTTGCTGAGATGTTTGTTGACTTGCTTATTACCGGTCTCCCCTTTTAGCTCAGTGGCAGCCCCCGAGAACATGGACTTTGCCCATCACACTCACTGCTATATTGGTGCCAGGCACCCAGCGGGGGAGCGATAAACATTTGTTACCCGGATGAACGGATTTAGTCATCAGCAGAACCCGATGAGCCTGGTATTACGACTCTCCCCATTTTACAGATGAGGAGACTGAGGCAAAGAAAGGAGAAATAACTAGCCCAAAGTCACAGAAACGGAAAAGGAGATAGAGCCAGGATTGGAGTCCAAGGGCTGCTAAATCCAGATGGAGCAGGGGCCACGAAGTTTTGTGGGGGTGACTCCGGCAATGCCCAGGCCTATGGCTGGCCATGCCTGGCCTACCTCCAGTTAAGTCTCCATGCCGGCTGGGCCGCTGTCCTGGCTGGGAGCCAGAGCCCAGTGCGGATTCTGAAACATTGGCCCTGCTGCTGTCTGCCTGGCTCCACAGGGAGTGTGGGCAGAGGAACTCCTAGCCCACTTCTCAGGCCGGTCAGTGGGCTGGGTGCCCTGCGCAGCCCCAGAGGGCTCGGCCGGGGGCAGGAAGCTTCTTAGGGTGGCGGAGGTCCTGGTCCGCCTGGAAAGGCTACCTTCCTGCTGCTCCCCAGGGTTGCGCTGTTCTCTCCGCCAGGCCACCTCCCATGGCCACAAACAGGTCTCAGGCCCATGGAAGTCCCCGCTGGGGGCCGAGCCTGCTGGAGAGCAGTGTGGCCCATATGCAGCTATGAGGCCCAATCTCCCTCTCCACAGGACGAGGCCGCCAAGCTGTGGTCAGCAACCCCTAGGGCCACTTTAGCAGAACTCTTCATTTCATTTTTATTTTTTTTAAAGATTTATTTGAGAGAGAGAGAGAGAGAGCAGAGGGAGGGGCAGAGTAAGAGGGAGGGAGAGAATCTCAAGAGGCTCCCTGCTGAGTGCGGAGCGGAGAAGGGGCTAGATCCTACGACCTTGAGATAATGACCTGAGCCAAAACCAAGAGTCAGATGCTCAACCTTAACCGACCAAGCCACCCAGGTGCCCCCATTTTAGCAGAACTTTTTGATGGCAGTGATGACTTTGATCCCTGCTCTGATCTTGGCCGCACGGCCATAGTTTGGCACCAGTAGTTTGAGGCACACAGACTGCCAAGTCCTGCCGTCCCCACAGTGGCTCGGCCTGCTTCTAGGTCACCTGCAGCATGACCCCTCTAGCTCCTGACTCCCGAAACAGGGGATGTGGTGCCCGGGGGCAGAGTGGAGGGGAGGGGAGCGTCCGCAGTCAGCAGCAGGGCTCATCTGTGGACTGACCTGGCCGTGGGCTAGGCCTTGTGGGGTCATGGTCCCCCCAGGCTCAGGCAAGGACTTAGGGACACAATCAGAAAGGGATCCGGAGGCTCCTCTGCATTTACTGGGTCCTTTTTGTTCTGGCAGAAGCTAGCATTGTCTGGGAACTCAAGAATCTGACCACAGGTCTTCTCTGCCTGACCACAGGTCTCCCCTGCCAAACAGGGGAGGGCCAAGGGCATGTCCGTCCGTGCTAGGCCCGTGGGTGCCTGCCATTTAGGCTGCAGGTATGGGGAGAGATGAGTTCAATAAGAACAGCTGTTCAAGGCCCCCTGGTTCCCTGTCTCTCAGGCCACTTCCCAACCCTTGCCTGGATGCACGGGCCCCCGACATGCCCTCCGCACCCCAGCACACTCAAAGAAACAGGTCCTCCTTGAGCATGAGGCCTCTTGGGAACTTGCCAGTCCTCCATGAATGGAGGGATGAGGGGACGTGTTGGGTTATTGACCGCAGCGCGAGAAGGGGTTGGGAGATTGTTATGTCTGTGTTATGTCTGTAATGACTGCCGAAGGTTCCATGCCTCACTGGACACCCTTCCCTCCCCTGCATCCCTTACCTGGGGATGAGTCAGCTCTTGGTTCCGTGGGACACTGGTCTCATTTTCTCACCTGCTCATAGATGTTTTTCATCAGCTCCATGAAGCTCTGCAAGCCTTTTAACTTGGTTTCCAGTTCGGTCCGACGAAGGCACTCTGCATCCAGGTCCTGGGGGTGGGAGCAGTGGTGAGTGCCAGGGGAGGGGGCATCTCAGGGCGGGAGTGGGGTGCTCATCTTCCTGAGGGAGATGGGGGTGACTCCCAAGGGAGCCCTGGCTCAGTGCCTGGGAGAAGCAACAGGGTGAGGACAGGTACCCATGTCTGTCTGTCGTCCCGGGACTCAAGCCTCTGAGGGCTTTGCTTGGGGAGCCTGAGGGAACGAGGGCAGAGGGTCCATGAGGACGGAGCCCCTGGGGCAGGCTGGGCAGGCTACCTTCTTCAGCTGGACGAAGGTGAACTCCATGTCTGTGCGCTTGGAGGTCTCCTCCTCATACCTGGGAGGGGGGGAGGGAGCGAGGCAGTGGCAGAGAGAGAAAGAGAGAGAGAGGCTGCTCAGCTGCAGGTGGCAGGAGCTTGGGGTATGATTAACCCTCTGGAGTGGGGCTCAGGGCCTCTGCTGTCCCATTTGGTGCCTTATGCCAATTAGAAAAAAAGTGGCCTTTGCCTCGGGTGGATGCAGCCCCTCATCTATGACACATCCCTTCTAAGCCCATGACACCAATCTGTCACTCCTGGATGATCAGCCAGTTCTCTCCCAGGGCTCGTCTGTCCCCTTCCTGGCTCTTGCTCATATCCACCTCCTCCTGGAAGCCTCTCCTGATTGCGCAGCCCTGTCTCCCTAACTTTGTTCTCTCATCTTTTCCTTATCTCCTCCCCCAAGAATCTCCATTTCCTACAAGCCATGCCTTTGGTCGAGTCTGCCCCGAGCTGTCTGCTCACGGCCCATCCTCTCCCACCTCCCCACCTCCCCGCCTCCCCTCTGCATTGCTAGCTGGTAGGACACCATTCCATCATGTTCCCTCCCAAGGCGAGAGTGTGGACCTTGCAGTCAGATAGACCCACAGTGTGTTCTTGGGCAGGTAACTGCACCCCTCTTTCCTCGGCTCGCCCGTCTGTTAGGGGTGTGTGTGTGCACGTGCGGGGGTCGGACCAAGCCCACCCCTGGTACAGTGACAGGGCTGCATAGTTGATACTCCACAAAGGTGGGTTCCTTCTCTTAGCTTTGCCTCCTCCTTTCTCTACTCCACCTTGTGTTTGGAACAAGGACACTGTTGGACGAGAGACGGCATCTCTGGGTCTCTGACCTTCACCCCTTGCTCTAATCAAACCTCTGTCTTGGCCCTCCCCGGGGTGGGTGTCTACCAGCGCAGACTTCTTGCCCTCAGCCCTGCCTGCCTCCATGGATGTGGGGATTCTGTGGCTTCCAGGGAATGCCTGAATCACTGGCGGCTCTAATTACAGTCGCCTGCCTGCCCCGCTCCCTGACCTCATGGCAGGGGCAACGTCACCCTTCGCCCACGTCAGCTGGCTGGGCCTGCCACCACTCAGGCTTTGCTTGCCACCAGGCTTTACCTGAGAAGCTGAGGGGAGCAGGCCCCAGCTAAGAGCCTGCCGGGCACTGGGTCTCTGAGACTCAGTGTGCTTAGCGCACGGACTCCCGGCTGCTGCTTTGGCTTCCCAGAGTCTGCAAGGGGCTCTCAGGATGTGGGTCACGGGCATGGTGTGGAGGGTGGGCCAGGGGGACTGGTCTGCAGTCTGGGGCCTACCAGAGCCAAAAATATGCCCAGGAAGCTTTTCTTGCTCCCTTTTCTGTGCAAGTGGGCTCCAGAGCCCCACTACTTGGGTTTAGGTCCTGGCTCCTTGCTAACTAGCTGTGGGACCTTGGCTAAGCTGCTTGTGCATGCCTCAGTCATGACAATAGTGATGTCACGAGGGTTATATAAGTTAATACACGGAGTGTTTACAACAGTGCATGGCACCTGATAAAGCTATTATTATTACCTGAGCTCTGCTCTATCTAACATCAGGCTCTGGCCCTCATTCCCTCTGCCTTGGCCTCTAGCCTTTCTGGAGACAAACCATGGGAAGCCTCATGGCAGAGAGAGCAGATGGTTCTCTGCACTTCCATCCCAGACTTCCCACTGGGAATTTGGTGGCCTCTGAGGACTTCCCTGCCCTGGGGGTGGGGGTCTAGAGAGCCCCAAGCTGAGAAGCCCCTCATTGGCTGGCCCTCCCTGTGTAAGCCCAGTGGTCAAGGCTCTCCCCTTCTCCCCTCCCATCTGGATAGCAGAGTTCTGCCTGCTTGGGGGCAGGACCTTGGAGAGAGCTGTCCGGTGGGGGTTCTCTGAGGTGTCAAACCTCCTCCTTACCCCTCACTGTCCTTCCAATCCTTTTGTATAGCCTTCCCTCCTCCCATTTCACCAACTCCACTGGATTTCAGCCCTAGTTCACCCCCTCAACCAGAAGCTCTTGTGCAGTGAACCTCCTGCACAACAGTATATGGCACCCTCTAGTCACTTGCTATGTGGCCTTGGGCAAATGATTTCCCCTTGTGGGGCCTCTGCTTCATTCTTAATAAATACAAGGGTTAGCTAGCTGATCCTTGGGGTCCTGGCTACATCAAAGCTTTTGGAAGTCTCTGTCATTATAGAGACTTAGGTAAATGCTATCTCCCCCACTCCACTTCTAATCCCCTGCCAGTCTGCCAGCCGCCAGTTCCCAAACCCATGCTCAGCCCTTTTCAGCTTGTCACACCCACCCC